GGCGTGTTCCCTCGCCATCGCCCACCGCGTGAACGATAATTTCTACGCGAACACGCTCTGTTTCCCAGTCATAGATAAGAAGTCTCCCCTGTGGCATATATTTTTGAATTGCATCCACGCCTAATATCGGTGCAATTTGTTCCGTTATATCTTTATTAATCATATCTATCATAATTTTTGGTTCTCTCGCATGACCTAGCATGCTAAATTTCGGGACGTACTTAAACATGTCAATCATAATTGGGTGAGCACACAAACACTAATAAACTGAATACTAAAATCATTATCATTTGCTATGATGCTGTAGTAATTTTGGGAAAAAATTAACCAGCGCCACCTCATAATCCATGGAAGGATCAACATTAGCGGCGAAATGACGTTTTCAAACGCATAAGAAGTGTTGTGCGGGAAAACATCTTTCGATGCAGTACTGGTAATATATATGTACTGATTGTCAGTCTCCATGGTGGAAGTTGATGACAGACTGAGAGTTGCATCAATAATTTCACCCTTTATAAAGATGTAAAGGATAAAATAACTTAAGGAGTAATTCATAACCTTATTTTATTAAAGATATCATATATATATATATATATATATATATATATATATATATATATATATATATATATATATATAAATCAAACAAGTACAAATGCTACTGGAGAACATGAGATATTAATGATCATTTTCCAGCTGCCTCGGTAGCTTCGATGTCCGCCGCTGTTCGCAGGTAATTTTCACCGTCCCCGCATCATCTTCATTATACCTGGGTCGTTTGTTTCTAATGTCGGCTCAGGCAAAGGAGAGGACTCGCGCACAGCAGCGAAACAGATATCTTCAAAGGCATACACCGCGCTGCAAAGTCTTGTAAAAGCTCAATGTATGCATGGCTCCAACTGCCTCCTTCCACTTCAACTGGAAATAAGATCTCCCGAATATTCATCTCTTGAAGCTGATTAAACAATGAATCGAGACATTCACCCAAATTTCTTAGTCGGTTTTCCGATCCGTCACACGCCAATCCATCAACATAATGTCTATCCATACTCGACTTTAATTGTTTCATGGCAATTTCATTATTTTCCAGGGCTCTCCCGGGACCAAAGTGGGCAACGAGATAGATAATTACAGGCCCATCTCCCTGTTTCACACTAACGACCCCGGTAGCACATCTGTCAGCTACAATAGCCCTTGAGGTAGAAAATAACCGCCTTTTTGATCTGTAGTAATCAGCATATGCATATTCTTTTTCCAATATGCCCGATGTAGCGTAAGCAGTCTTTCCACATGCATTAGCATACGGCGGTGTCTTTACACAGCTCATGCTGGAGCCTCCTTTTCTAATCAACAGGGGGTATAGATAATTCGGGAGATAATCCTCGCGAGGTGACCTCGCACTGACAGAAGGGGCTTCCATTAGCGGTCGTTCTTCTTCCATCTCTTCATTAATCATCTCTCTGTAGCGCCTGACAAATTGAGGAACGGCAACAACAGTAGCAGGGCGCTGACGTGGAGACACTTCCTCGGCCATCTTCTTGCGCAATCGAGGCAGTAGTATAACTCATCACCGCTCGTATCCTCGCTTTATACCCATAGGGTCCTGTCGTTACTCGCTCATGCATGTCACCGCCCACTTAATGCGTTACAATCATCTGCGCTTTGTACACAATCGATAGCCCATTTCAAAGGCAATAGACTGTTGATTGTATAAACTGGCGAGTCTGCGATATTTTGAAATCGTGCGTAATGCTTCTTCCTGCGGGGCATGCTTTAAATTTTCTACAGCATCATCAACTTCTTGCTGGTAGACTTGTTCAGAGTGGTTTGCAAGAAAGGCTCGGTATGTCTCCCACAATGACACAACAATATCGTGTTTGTACTGAGCTCGATAAAATTTTATCACCTCTCTTCGAAGCTCACTACCTAGAACTTTGAATGATACATTTTCTTCATCGTCGCTGCTGGTGTTGCTGTTGTTGGACGCACTGCTTGTGCTCGCGCGCGAGGACGCGTTGCTGAAGAGTTCTCCGTTCTCACTCATGTTTATGTGTTATTGCGTCTTACATACACACGCTTCTGATTATAGAATCGCCGGTTTTATCTCTCGAGGGTTAATAGGGGTTCCAACGCATCTTACTCTGTGCAGACATAAGGGCGGACATTGGCTTAACTTTTACATTCCCACCTGCCTTATGAACACCTGTGAGATACCGCCTAGCTGCCGGACTGCGCATATAATCATATGGTAATGGCGCAAAGTTATGTAATATTTTCAAAAGTTCCTTTTCTTTTACAGAAAACGAGTGCGATGATGAGGATGCAAAATACTTGATAACATCGAGTATATTTAACCCTGTTATAGGAGATTGTATCTGACCTAATTCGTCCCACGAATTAAAGTTACGGTAAAATTCCAAGAGAGATTTTGCATAATCTTGCTGATTTGTTTTGAAGAAAATTCCTACCAAGTGTTCTAATGAGGGATTTATCGGTGTATTCTGATTGTTGCCAGGGTTGCTTTTTCAAGCCTTTGCAGAGCTGCAGAGGGAAGGGGTACTGTCATTGCCTCATTAGCGGCGGAACGCCTGCATTTTCTCACATTTTTTGTTTTTTTCTTGCGAAAAGTAGAGCGGGATAATTAGCGAGCGCCCGAGCCCGCCCCGCGTCTATTTCCCGCGCAGACATCGCGACAACGCGTGCGCTCGCACCCGCCGCCGCTATGACAGCTGTCGTTCGCGTGCCCCCCATTTATTGCGGTATTTTTAGCTGCCATATATCGGAGGCGATTCTAATATGTTCTTGTTGACACCATCATTAATCTTGTTAGTATCATTACCGTTCGAGGTGAGGTCAGAGACCAGGTGGGTCAGATGTCGGTCGACCGTGGACTTTGGAACAAGACAATACTCTTTCATATTTCTAATCAAATTAAAGATGTAAATGCATTTACAGCAAGCGGGAGTAGAATGGATAAAATATTTCCCCCGGTGCGAGATGAGAGAATTTTTTTCTTCTTTTTAAGAGACGTTTTCTTCAGAGACACTTCCTTGATAGCTTGCCGATATCGTTTCAATTTCTTAATAATACTTTTTTCCGTGGTTAAGTTTTTCCTTAAGAAATTTGAAAAAACTTCGGCAATGCAATTGATCTGCTGTTTATCCAGCTGTAATATAAAGCCGGAACGTCGTTTTGGCTTTAGTGAACAGATAAACGATAGTACATCAACAAATCGAGGTGTGAGGGGCTGCCTTGTCATGGTGCAGGCTGCATGTCATCAATCGTAATGTATGAATTGAATTTGTCGGGATATCCAATCCAGCGAACAAGATATTCTCTCTGCTTTTTATTTCTGTTCCACCTCGATGACAGGATCTTGTACGGGTAAACACTTGGCAGTGATGTCGGGACGAGCTCCTCTCGATAAAACAAACCTTGGACTTCTTCGCCGCTTAAATCTTCCAGATAATACCCGACTATGTTCTGACGATTGTCAATCTGTCGAATTTTAAATATCTCCTCCGTATTTTGTATTTCATATCCCTTGCGAAATGCGTCGGTACGAGAGCGCGCTGCGATGCGCACAGTGTCCCCAACCTTTATATTCTGATTGCTAGCATGCGATCGGTCCTTTTTTATATGCACATTCAATGAACGAGCATACATTTGTCGAAAGAGACGTTGACACTGCGCCCGCGTGTAATGGCGGTGCACGTCCAGTGGCGCGGCGCCTTTCAAACCCGCGTGCGCGCGCTCATTATAGGCTAAAACAATATCCGGGAGAACGTCGATATACCTCAGCGTATCTTTTAAGGTTAAATATTTATATATGCGTTCCTTGAGGGTTCTGATGTGTCTCTCTGCAATGCTAGCCTTTATTTCCTTCGAATGCGTGGTATACCACTGCATCTTATGTTCGCGCAGTAAGCCGTTCACTGTATTATTTACAAACTCTCGCCCTGCATCGGTGAAGAGGTGAGTTAAACCTTTAGCATCCTCAGTATTTAACACCGATTTTAGTGCGCTCGCAACCTCCGTCTTGTTTTTACTCTTTAAGGGTCTTACTTGCATATAACGACTAACACATCTACACACACGAGCAAATAGTTGGTTTTATCGTTTTGTCTTGATAAGTTTCGCATGTCTGCCAGATCACACGTTAAGATTTTGCGAGGTCCTATAGCCATTGTTTGGCGGCGCGGGAATTTTTTGCGAGTATGTCTGTGAAGAGTATACACACGCTGCGATGACAAAGCATTTTTCACATCCGATTGTGTAATATTATCCTTTCCTAATTGCGTGCGAGCGGCGTCTAACAGCGCTTGTATTCCACCTAAGCTGTGGGGCTTTGTATAGTCTTCATACAAGTCCTTTAGAACTTGCATGGTTCTGTCGGTGATCACCATTGGTAGACAAGCTGATGTGGAAAATATTCACAGAGGATATTACTGCGAAACTGCAGTTTATCTGGAGTTTCACAACCGAGGTCTATGAGTAAATAACCGCGAGATTTCGAGAGAACAACCTTTTTATATAACTCCAAAAACCGCTTGGCTTCACTCTTGCCATATAACTGCCTACCGAGGCATTCTAACTGTCCGAGATCTCTGTTTTAGCAAAATAAAATGAGAGGTATTTAGTGAAATGTTGCGGCTGTGCTTCCCTTTCATAAATACATTTTGAACGAGGAGTACAACAGATATGTTTTCGTGTCGTCCCTTTGTAAAGATATTACTTACAATGTCATTATTAGCCGCTTCTATAAAGCAATCATCCAGTATATATAATATGCGGTCATTCGGTTTTGTCTTATGATTGATGGGATCTATAATGTCTTTGTTAACAATAAGTTTGTCAGATAAAGAGGTTTCCTTTTCTAGCGGATGAGATTCACTCCCGCATACAATTATACAATCAAACTGTTTCTGATAGTGCACAACAATTTTTGTGGCGAGATGCGTCTTTCCCGAATTAGTGACTCCTGCAATTATTATTCTTGCGGGGTGAGCAAAGAGATCCAGCAAGTTCTCCTTAAAACAGGAGTATGGAGTACTGTGCGACATGTTGAAGGACACAAATAAAAATGACACTTAAATTTTAGACATCGCCTATTTTATTGACTACAATATACAGAAAATATTATGTACATGTGTTAAGTATAGCCATTTTAAATAAAGTCATCATCACTATTTTCCTCTGCTTCCTCGATGAAGGGGTTCCCAGTTTGTGTTTTTCTGCGCTTTCGCGGTCTTGGGTTGCCAGATCGTTGCCTCCTGATGTTATTATTATAGTTGTTGTGTACAACAGACGGAAAGTGAAGGTGGCGGAGATACTCTCGTTTTCTCCATAGATGGCTTAATCTTTCCTCTCCTGTTGTTGTTGTTGTTGTTACCATGGTCTCGGTCTCCTCCTCCTCCTCCTCCTCCTCCTCCCCCTCCCCCTCCTCCTTCTCGCTCTCGCTCGCGCCGGTTGCCACATCGCGCACGAATTCTCCCCTCGTTTCCTCCTCCCCCTCTTCGCTCTCTGCCGCCTCGGAAAGGTGTTTAATGTCTGGATGACCATATGCTAGCGATTTATAGGCATTTACATACCAACGTTTATCATCGTATAATGACAGCCCGCGCTTTTTCATTTGCGTGGTCATCATTTGACCCAACGTTGGTAATGCTCACCTGTTTAAAGAAATGCACTTCTTTTTCATGAAGAATGCGACGGAAATTGTCGTGTTTTAGCCTCCTCTTCTCAGCCCGACAAATTCCCTTTGCACCCGCGGATGTTTGATCGCTATTTAGGAGCAAGGAATAAGTCTTGGGCTTTAGGCAAATTGCCTCTTTTATCGGAATCTCCCCTGTTTCAGATTTTAATAATCCAAGTTTGCCCTTGACAGACTGGTTGTATAATGGATGGTCATGGCTAAAATTAGAAGTGTCTATCCACTCTTTCAAAGGAGATAAGGACAATTCTTTATAAATGTCATCTGTCTCCACAGAGAGGATATAGCTGTCGGTGTCGGAGTAACAGAGCTGCACACGATCTCCGTAATGAGTCTTTAAAACTTTATAATAAAAGTTATACAATTTCAATTTAGCCAGCTCCAAGATGGTAAATCCAACATACTGCGGATAAGCCATACTAACAGTTTTTGCCCTTGAAATGGTTATCACTCTGTTGGAGCTAAGGGGATGAATCTTTTGAAGAATGGGCTTCGAATCTTTTTGAGAAAAGAAGAAGCATTGCACACCATGCTAGCACGTTCTAGTCTTTTTAGAGGGTTCATTAAACACCGCCCAAAGACACTGTTTGAAAGCGTCTGAAGCACAACTGTTGTGCTTTATCGGTGGCTTCCCTGCGCGCCTTAATATTTTCGTGAATAAAAGGCGATAAAAATTCACGTTGGGAGAATTCGTACACATCGCTTACTCGCTCCACCTCCACCCCCAAGTCAATTAAAAGCTGCAAATGTTTCAGTAAAATGAGGTGGTCCTTCTGCGGAAGATGTGAAGCCACAAGCTTTTGGTTTTTGCGTGGTAAACGCCTGTTCTGCGATGCTAGAAGTTGTTTGTTATAAGGGGATATGTCCTGATTTCTTATGTTCATGTGATGAATGAGGAGGGGCAAGTCGTCTGTCTTCCTCGCAACTTCGGGTGGAACTCTGAGATCAGCCACTACCCAGTGCCCAATATCACCGCTTTCGTCGTGGTTGGTTAACCCCGATGCAATGAACTCGGACTTTTCACAGGGCGGTAATTTCCGGATATTGCCGTATGGTAATTTCTCAGACATTACCGTGGCATACAAGCTGTTGAAATCAAGGTAGAGTATGTAGGTGCTACTTTCCTTTTGTGGGTCATGGTGCGGATTAACAAGGGAGTTCTTTGCTACCGTGAGAGGGCGAACACATGTTGTCAGTCCCCCTCTCACAGATTGCTCAATTTTGCGGGCTAATTCTGGATCGGATATAAGCTCAAGGTTTGTTTTTGTCATTTTTAGGAATGCATCGTATGCATATCCGGGAAGACTGACATAGTTAACTATATCCAGATCGTACTTTTCAGCAAGCATAGACCTCCACTCTGTAATCACATCGGCTAGCAAACCCACATCAGTCCTCAGGTAGCACTCTAAATAATCACCTAAAGTACGACACCCGGCTGCATTCCAGACTTTTAGTGCATGAGCATACTCCTCCTCCGTAACCGTCTCACCTGTGAGGGAGCTATAAAACTTTTCAATAGGGGGGAGGCTGGTCTCTTCGAGCTTTTTCAGGTCATCCAAGTACTCATACGGAAAAATACCCTTTCCCGTTAGAAGCAGCGACTGAGCTTCGTCTGGCAAATGACGTAAGATATGCTTGGAATACCTGAGTGAGCGGCTGCTTTCAATATGAGTTTTGGCGAGAGAGCTTAGGCTTGCGTTCATAAAAGCTAAGCTATCGAGGAATTTCAGGTTGTTTAGTTCCACAGAGTGATATCGAAGCCCTTGCTTCGTAAGAATTTTGATTTTTGTGTTAACTTGCATTTCTTTCAGAATGAGCCCGAGGTCGTAAGAGTGATTATGAGCCAGACAGGGGATAGCTGTGCGATGATTTTTCATCTGGAGGTTACAGCGAGCGCAATAAGCACCAATGTAGTTCATCCGATCTTAGTATGGTCGTGGTGTCTGTGCTTTTGTTGATGTGTGGGAAATTTTTGGTTGCACATTTCGCACATTTCGGCCTTCTTAAAAGCTTCTTCATCTTCGTTGGACATGTGGAGAGGATGATAAGGCATGTTTTTTACAATGTCCGCCCATTTGTTAGACAGATTCTCAACAAAGTGCGTGGCAGCGTCGGCACCCTGATATAGAAAACTATCTACTACTTCACCTTGTCTGTCTATTATGATATAGCTGTAGGCACAGGCTTTGTGCTGTGCTATACATCTCTCCCCTCCACCAGTCTTGTCCATGAAGGCTTCAAAGTCGTAGATACACATGTGTGATGGTGCAAATGCTTTCCCATAATTCACGAAGGCGAGTTTACTCCCCTGCAACGGGTAAGTGATCTTTGTTGGCATCTCACATCCTGACATGTGAGATTCGGCTGATCTCTGATCGGGAAACGAAGAGAAACATGTGCGACAAAAGTGCTTGTGAACGTTCCTGCCTCTCATGGTAAATACGTCCATGTACTTATTAAAGTCTGTTATTAGACAGGCGTGCTCATTTTTAAGAAGAAGTAGGTGAAGACGCAGTCGCTCCTTGATGTCTTCTCTTCCTTTTCTCACCTGTAATATGGCATATTTTTCGTGAAATATGTTCGTTTTTTCAAGGGTATAGACATAAATAGAGAGACTATTGTCTCTCTCTAATTCTCCCAATGTTTCCCAGCTGGTGGGGAGTTTTTCCGCGTCATGTTTAATAAGGCGCGCACATTTAGCCGGAGTGTTGACTGCTCTGTGTAGATTATTTTTTGAGCGTCCAGCTGCTAGCCATTTTCCGGCCGCGAGGGATCGTATGACACAGTCTGTGTTACCTGTTGGGTTGAAGATATAATGCCCCTCGAACATCTTCAGGATATGCCACATGTCGTCCAATTGCTTGGGAACTAGAAGATGTGATATCGTAATGTCGTGAGCATTAATGGATTCAAGATCGAGTCCGCTTCCCTCATCTGATAACCACTCTTCTAGTTTAGCTTCTGCTTCCTCTGCCCATCCGCATACAGCTCTTCTACACTCGTCTTCGCTAGATATTGCATAACTGCACAGTGTGATATCTTTTTCAATATGCGTGACATTGCCGGTAGTGAAGTCTATCTTGGAGAGGGTAATATTAAACCCTGTAAATGATTTCGTGGAAGGGGGAGGGCATCCGAGTGTGGAGCGGTGAAATTTGTAAGACATCTGTAAAATAATCTTGATTTCTGCGCAGGTAATCAGACGGAGATGGCTGGTCTTGGTTAGGAATGCTGAAGCCGAGCCTTACGGCTGCCCCTTGAAATAATTCCCCCCTGGAGATAATATGCGGCGTCTCTACAATATTATCTTCTTCTTCTTTATCACTAATAACATCACTGTCACTTTCATAATATTTTCTATTCACACGAGCACGCGATATTTCCGGTTGTGCTGTAATAGACCTGGACGGTCCGGGTTGGGCGAGAGAATCCGCGATGGTCCCGGTTGCGGTGTAATAGACCTGGACGGACCGGGTAGGGGTGAGAGGGGGCGAGTCGAGACTTGTTGTATGGGAAGGTCCTGCTGTAGGTTCCCTGCAAGACATAACATAAACACAGTTATTACACAATAATGCGAGGAGGGGTTATACAACATTCACTCCTCAAACCGTCTTTGTGAGAACTTGCCTGGTGTGGTATGTGACGATCGGTGAGTGGCGATCTTAGAACCTTTAGACCCCTTTCCAGCACCTGCTGTAAGGAATTAAGTATATGGTTAATCATTTGCCGCATGGGCAGACGTCTTTCAGGCGTATTCTGCTGTAGGTCTTAACTATCTTTCAATAATTTTCATGTCTACCCATACTTTAATACTCAGATTTCACTGTGTATGAATTAGCTTACCTCGAATGCATTGTTGACGGTGGTAATGCAGCCTTGCTGAGGGAATGTGTTGGTTGCAACCTGAACACAGCAAGCAAAGGTGGTTGTTGGACAGCTTCTTTCCACAGAGCTGGCAGTGAAGCTTGATGTTAGCCATTGTGAGTGCTATCACAGGGGAAGGCAAAGATGTACTAATGTTTAGTGGTCGAGTTTCCACCCTTTTTATATCGCGGGGAATGCCGACGGGCGACAGATGTGTGCATTTCTATTTGACGTTTTATAATGAATTCTATTAAATCATTTTGTGTTTATACAAGAGGAATATAAAAAAAATGATAATTAGTATAGAGATGTTTATAATCTTTTTCATTAAATTTAGATTCGTATATCTAAGATGCTTTGAGAGTGTTGAAACACAGCAAGGAAGGAAAAGTAATTATTTAATCGATATCTCCCAGACTCTGCAGTTGACCTGACATCTGTTCAGGATGCAGCTGACCTGTGTTTGAGCAGGCCTTCCTTTAATTATTAACGGCCGTCATTAGTGAAAGGGGTGATCAGTGAGACGCTTCTTAACTATCACTAGCTAGAGGGCTTTTAATGATGGGAAAATAAAGACATATTGAGTACAACGAATTTTATACTCCTTTCCGCTGAACTCTATACTTATAAACGAGGTGCTTTTCGATTGTGGGGAACAAACTGTGAATATCTGATTAATTAGTGTCTGTGCCTGACTTCTGAGGGGATAACTTTATTATTGAGATGTTTTAAGACAATGTAGGCCATCCCACATGTTCAAACATGACGAATAGATGCTGTTATTGATTTCGCTGACCTGACTCACATCGGTAATGGCTTAATTTTGCGCGTGACCTGGAGGGCGGTGGGAATGAAGGGGTGGGGGACTTGGGTGGTTGGGGGACACCTGTTTGGTGTGCGTATTATTCCCCATTAGCCACGGTTATTGATTTCCCGTAATCATTATGATAATTACTTCCGGAAGTCATTAGGTCACTTCCTGTTATGACACGTCAGGTATGTGCATAGCGGGATAAGAGGGTAGTCATAGGTGAGAGTCCAAGGTGTTTTTGGGTGAGGGGGTTGGGGTGGTGGAACTGTGACACCTGCTCTTAGGATGATAGTTGACCTGCGGCAGCAGGATCCATTTGTTTGTTGTTCCTCTTCTTTCTTCTTCTTCTTCTTCTTCCTCTTTCTCGTATTCTCCTTATTATTATTATTATTATTGTTGTTTTTGGAGAGGAAAGGAATGGGGGGCACCCTTCAGGTGTGTGTTCTCCATCATTAGTCACGGTTATTGATTCCCGTATCGATTACGGTAATTACTTCCGGAAGTCATTAGGGCACTTCCTGTTATGACACGTTAGGTACATAGGGGGGGACCCATGGGGGTGAGGCTGCTGTGTCCAAGGTGTTTTTGGAGGGGTTGGGGTGGTGGAACCTGTGACACCTGCTCTTAGGATGATAGTTTGACCTGCGGCAACAGGATCCATGTTTGTTTGTTGTTCCTCTTCTTCTTCTTCTTCCTCTTCTTCTTCTTCCTCTTCTCGTATTTATTATTAGAGGAAAGGGAGGGGGGGCACCCCTTCAGGTGTGTGTTCTCCATCATTAGTCAAGGTTACTGATTTCCCGTAATCTACGGTAATTACCGGAAGTCATTAGGTCACTTCCTGTTATGACACGTTAGGTACATAGGGGGGGACCATGGGGTGAGGATATATATATATATATATATATATATATATATATATATATATATATATATATATATATATATATATATATATATGTATATATATATATATATATATATATATATATATATATATATATATATATATATATATATATATATATATATATATATATATATATATATATATATATATATATATATATATATATATATATATATATATATATATATATATATATATATATATATATATATATATATATATATATATATATATATATATATATATATATATATATATATATATATATATATATATATATATATATATATATATATATATATATATATATATATATATATATATATATATATATATATATATATATATATATATATATATATATATATATATAT